ACTGAACTCAATAGTTTATACGAAGCCTTTTTTTTCGTGTTTTTAGCCGTTCTGTTGTCTTCAATACAACGAACCAGCGTTATATTATAAGTGTTCGGGTTTTATGCTGCCTATCAAGCAGCGGCCTCCGTTTGTCATATTTAGGGGTCGCCATCAACGCCTATAAAGGGCTACGACCTTCTCTGTAATGAAGACTCACGTCTCGGTGAGGGAACAGTTAGAAGTCTAAGTAAAGGTGTAACTGAAAATGATTGATTGAGCATACGCGTATTACTAAATAAAGATGTTGGCCTCACACACCTATTAAACATTTGGCCGTGCCGGTATACCAAGCTGTTGTGTTCCTACCCATCCGTTTTTAATAAGTATTCCTGAGAAAAGGTAATGGCATATTTCATCTAAAGTTTTATGAAGTAATCATGATCGATCAATTACCATTAGTAAATAGTACCAGAGCAAATGATTTCTTACTACAAGACTGAATGATTTCACTCAGAAGGTTCGAATATTGTTCCCTAATGTATTTGGAACACCTGCACTAAGGATGTAGCAAGTGGTTATACTTGAGTGTAGTTGCTGCCAACGCTGGAACTAAGTTTACGCTTCTTTTCGCGGTATCACTTGAAGAGACCCATAGGCGAGCAGCGCTTTCATTATAGAATGTCTTGAACTTGACTTAACATATCATGGAAGTGAGAGCTGTGGAATTCTATCGTAATAATTCGAGTCTAGACGCTAGTGATTGACTTCATTGTACAGTGAACCTCATAAATGAAATAACTTGAGGCAAATCACAGTACTTATTTTAGCAAACATAGTATCGTATTCATCGCTTTCTTCCATGTTGCGAAAGTTTCTGGTCGAGCCTAAGCAAATCTTCAACATTATTTGTTTACTTGCTCAGCAACTTCGATCCACTAATGTCTCCTTTTCTGATTAATACTATGAGTCGTTACTATTGCTTATGCGGGTTTTAGGCAGTACTTTACACAGGAATCAGTGCTGGGAGGTATACGTGTCCGACTAGACGAATGAGCATAATCAATGGATGTGTGTTATATAAAGTCTTTAACACGACTCATTTCTAGTAATCTCCTTGTTTAATAGCACTATTTCGAAGGCATTCCTTTACTTGATAACATAGCTTCCATTCAGATAAAATGCTTCCGCTGTTTAGTTTCATTTCATATCCGGTTGCCATTTTTTGAAACCATTTCTTTTCTGGACTTCATTAAGTAGTGCAAGCTTGATTAAGGTATACTGCTGAGGTTATTCTTGTAGGCCACGACGCAGCGTTATATTCCGTTCAGGGCGTTCTTATGCGTCGCAGCAGAAATAAAGTAACTTATGTAGATTTACTTTCACACTTTTAAACTGGTTCATTCTTAGAGCGCTAATATTGTTAATTGGTCCTGTCGGCGTAACCATTGCTTTTGTCAGAAATCAGTTTAACAGCTCAACATAATTTAGAAGGTGAACCAAGTTATCAGCTCTTATTTAATACCGTTTATTATAGCACTCTACTCTGTTACGACTCTGACTCTGAAAAAAGAACAGCAATTGATAGATTGTCAATGGTTCGGTGAGAATTTTAGCGTTTTATTTGTTTCCGAATATCACAACGCAAAAGTCAGAACTATTAAAAAGTACTTTGAAGTCTCATTTTTGCTCTTTCACTAGCTTCTATGCGGTGTTGGTGTGTTGGATTTTAACGGTAAAGAAAAAATCAGTTTTTTTTACATCTAACTTTCTTTAATTCCCAGCTTTAGAATATCGGAATCGTTCTAGTCCTTCTAAGAATTCAGCTGGGTTTACATAACTATAACAATATGTGCATAATTGGTAGCTCACCTCATATTCTACAACACACAATTTACTTGAATTAGTTACGAACGCATAGTTTTCCGTTATTATGCTTGGTTGATGATTGAATAGATTGAGAAACATTTAGGTTCAAAAGATCCACGTTTTATTCTTTTTTTCTTAATACTTCAACACTGAGTCCTAAAGCTCTAAAATTATTAACTGTCTGTATTATGCAAAAAATACATTGGCAGAAAATAAAAAGTAAACATTGTGAATTCAACTACAGCCTCAGCTTAACTGGGTTGAATGCCGATGTGGGCTCCCAGATCAATCCCGCTGACGCGTGATTGCTGACGGCACAGATCGATAGAACTAGCTGAGAGGCATGCGAAACGAAAGACCCGCATGGTGTGGTGATGAACGCGTTACTCCCCGGAAAGGACAATAGTGCGTTCGTTCCCCACCGCAGGCACCTGCGGTCCGGAGTTTTGCAAATATCTCAGCAATATTGTGCTTGTATTTCACTTAATACCTTGAAATAAAAATTATAGAAGGCGGAAAATAAAAAGTAAGCATTGTTTTCTTTTCGTGAAAATTTCTTTTAAGGTAATAATACTTTTGTTGATGAATAACTTCGATAATCACACTGAATAACCGCCAAACATCTTACTTAATGAAAAAGAAATGAAAGCGAAAAAGAAAGGTTTATTTACTGTTTGCGTAGAACACAGGAAAAAGCCAAAGTGTAGTGAAAAGTCAAATCTAACTATAGGTCTATTATTGTGAAATTCAAAAAAAACTGTAAAATAAATGACCAGATTCGGAAAAAGAAGGGAGTTCGAGCACTCGACATTGTCCAGATCTAGACGCACCCTTTTTCTCGTTCAGCAATGGTTAGATAAGCTATATTCATATTTTCCTCTTTCTCCTTTGCTTTACTCTATTAGGCAGAAAAACTCTATTGTTGCTCTAGATAAAAAGCAAAATGATTAATGAATGTTAAAGATTTAGGAAACGTGCTCTAATGGACCGTGGCGGTTGGCTTTCGCAAGGGGTCGTTGTTGGATAGGATAAGCATGGATAGGTGAGCATGATAAACGACGAGAGCAATGACTTGCCGTCTTGAATAATCAATTTGACAGAAAGAGTGAATTTGGAAAATATCTAACTGTGTTCGATGTTTTTCTTCAATAAGCAGACACGAGGTTGTTATTATAGGATTTATTAGGATACAATAGCTGACGTTTCGGCGGTTTCGCCTTCTTCAGAGCCGCTTCATTGTTGTAAGTATTTAAGTTAGTTGGTGGATAGCGGCCGCACAGAGTAATACATGGGCGATAACTGTCCTGTATATAATAAATCCAATAGTAACAACCTCGTGTCTGCTTATTAAAGAAAAACATCGAATTATCAATCAATGCCGAGGTTAAAAGAAAGTCGGTCGTGTGAATCTAACTGTGTATTTATTGAACCAAAAAATGCATCACACAACATCTTGAAAAGGATTGAAATTGAAAATTCAATATTACTTCAGATTTATGAAACGCGACACCAATTTGGGTGTGCGGGAGAAGCTGATGATCTGACCGAGTACGTCTCCACTAATTCAAAAGATGTGAAAAGTGTTTAAGCTAAATTAAATCGCGTTAGTCAAAACGTAATCCATTATTACTTAATATTTACTTTTAGTCTCCAATCCACCCTATGACTACATTTGAACACGCTCTCCGTCAATGTTACAAGTCTTGCATAATAAACAGAATAAAGTGTGGTTCTTATTCATTCATTTGCACGTGGATAAAACTATGCTGCGTGAAGACGTAGTACTCAATTCCGTCATCACCAAAAAATACACTCATTCTTCATGCCATAACTTCTCTTCAGAAAATCGCCTGATATTTATGTGGTGAAATGGTCGCAACCGAAAACTACAGGGCGAGAATGAGGGCAATGGGCAACAATAATCGGCCACACTGAGAGCAAAGGATAAGGCCTCTGGACCTTAGCCAAATCTTGCGGATTTCGCTATGAATTCGGCTTTATCAAGGGATGGAAATATAACTGAATGAATATCTGGCCTATATAACAGGTTTCGATGGCTTATCGATACGCCAAGTCAATGTTTGTTATTCTAACAGGCAAACAAAAATTTGCCGGCCCCAAAAAGATGGATGGCTTGGTCAGTTCGGCGCGTGAGATCAAACCAAAACCCAAGTGTTCATTACAGTTTACTTCTAAACACTGCGTCACTCATGCCCATTCGGTTGCACCAAATCGCTTTTCTTATAAATTACAATTACTAGTCGGAGTGCAAAAAATGCTAAGTAAGCACATGTTGCAGAGACAGAAATTCCTCTGACATATCCGTTTTTTTAAAATTTTGTTGTTTATATGAGTCGATTTCTAGAACTGGGCTGGCTATGGGTGAATTAATTTAGCACAGTTACCATAAGTCAACGATTTTAAGTAAATCTTTCGTGAAAAGCCCAAAAGTGTTAAACCCGCCCAACTGTTGTGAACTGATACCTCGGATTTTGATAAGCTGACAAGAACGCATCGAATATTTTTAACATGGCCAAGCTGTCGATTTCTTCACCATTTTCACAGCACTTTGGCTGAAATACAGCGTGCAGACTATAGCTAGAGCTTTTAAAGATGTAACGTTCTTCTGAGCCGCTGTAATTGAGTTTAATGCAATACCATAGAAATCGTGTCACACTCTCCGGTGATTACTGTTTGAAATTTTTGTTCTGTTTCGAGTATTCGATCAGCAGTCCGATTCCGATTTCAGAAAACTCGATAAATCCTCGGCTCTAATTGAATCAACTCACTCTTTGAGTTCGTATCCAAATAACACCAGCCTTATAATTTCTACTATGTTTGCTTGAAACTGCAAAATGGAACTGAGAAGGCGGAACTAAAATTGACATCGGAACTAAAGTGTGATCAACAAGGGAAGAAGCTATGAGCGAAGGGTAGCACTGGGTTGCCTTAGCGTAATCCGCGATACTCGTTGCGAACGCCCACATCGCGTCCACTCGTCAATTTACTGACCATTCACGTCATTAGTTTCGTAAGCTTTGTACACTATTCAGTTATTCGACTTTGCATATTTCATATTTGGTTGAGAGAAGGTGCGTTGAAACTAGGTAGTCTAATCTAAATGAACTAAATTCATCAACCACTGGTTCAGGATGATAATTGCTGCAACAACACTCGTACTGCCGATTGTTCTTGGGCAAACCTTCGAAAACATTCATGTTGGGTTTCCCGATGCGTGGCATGGCGATAAGTACAGAGAGCTGTTCTGTCCAAGCACGAATATACCCAAATTTCTTGGTAACTTGTGCCCTCATTAACATACACCGCTAAAGGTAGATGTAGAATACTGAAATTTCCAGATGGCTTTTTTTTATGCCAGTTGTCTGCTTCTTACGGAGACTTTTCCGCGCCACCTGGTAAAAGACTTAATCATATGGTTGATGCGATCGGTGCTATAGGATCATTTCACATCAGCAACGGACAAGTAAGGAATTAAATTCTCAAAGATGTAACGAAATCGAGAATTGCATTTCTGTTTTGTTTTTAGGTAACGTTTTCCTCTCGGTACTACCCATCCAGGCCATATAAAATATGGGAATTTTATGACCGCAACATAAGCAAGTCCAGTGTTGCGTGGTCTGGTTGGTCAGACTACAACTTGACAGCAATGTCGAGATGGGAGAAGGTTTTTCTATTCGAAAGTTTTTAATGGCTCGATTAGTGTTGACGTGAAGTTATCAGGTTCCAACAAATCCCGATAGTGCCCGGTTTCACCCGAATCTTGACTTTTGGAGAGTAGGGAAACGAATTCTTGCGGGCACAGAGGCGCCTTTTTGGATAGGATACGAATTCGATGTCTGTGTGCGGTTATGGCTACGTTTTCCTATCTTTTCATTAACAGTTGTGATTTTGAATTTTTTCAAAGGCGACGTCTTGTTTTCCAGGTACCCACATTAACTAATTTCAAACTTTTCAACTTCGTTGAAGAGAACGATATATTTTCTACACCTCGTCCCTCAATGATCCCAATTTCTATGGCAATCCATGAACGATCTGATTCAGATGGTATCATCTGGGGTTCCTTCTCTGCCATGAATTTTGAGGAGCAACGGTTTTATCAGGTTCTACTACTTTTTCAGCAAATCTACTAGACAAAAAAACTTTTCCATTTTCGAAAATATTTTTGAATAACATTTTTGATACGTTATGCCCTTCACTTCGTTTGTAACAAACTAAGAGCAAGAATCTCATCCAACTCTGTAGTTTCTTTTCCTAGGGCATATTCACGCTTGACCCCCAAGGAGTTCGACGAGTTATTGGACTATTCGACTACGGTAAATGGGATCCTAATGATTGTGGTAAAAATGATGAGTATCTAGGTTAGTAATTCAAGTTTTTCAAACCAAGTGTTTTTAACTTTTAATCATTGAGTGAAAAACAACAGTCAGCCAAACAGCCCATTATTACTCGTTCGTTTCAGTATTTCATTAAACTTTTTCCAAATACAACAGCCATTGCGCATAACTGCATTTATGTGTCTAAACCCATTGTTCCATTGTTCGGTTTAGTTATTATAAATGGATAGCAAAATAGTTCCTTTTACTTACTTCATCCAAATTTCGCATGATAAGTTGCGGTTTTCCCGCGTTCCTGTGCTGTTTATTGTTAAAAAGTTAGAGATAGTTGAAATAGATATAAAGCACTAATACTTGGATCGATGTTAGAGTTCACGGTTCTGAGGAGCGCACCTTGATCAGATGCACAAATACGGTGGTTTTCCGAAATAATCTCATCAGCAAATTGAGGGAGGTGGGAGTTGGTAATGCCCGGACGAAACGCACGTTCTAAACATTCATCTAGATCGAAAGGAAGAATATCAGAATACAGACGCTCTGCAAACACATGCAAAACACGTAGAATTCCTAGTTGAATTGTCAGCACATTACGTCTAAGTATATTGGTACCTCTTCATCATGGCTGGAATGTACTCCTGGATATTGGACCGTAATGCACATCAAGTGGGTTCATCTTTTCGCCAAGTATCCCATACCAGAAAAGGTCTGACAATTTTATCCGAAAGTCAAGCTGAGAGATCAGGAATGACTGACTTTCTAGCAGCAAGAAGTAACAAGGTAGCAAATTTTTCAGCTTGAAGCAGTAGGTGATTTCATGTTGCTGATTATTTGAGAATATCCTAGCAAGACTGCTTCGAAACTCTTTTGAAAAAAAAACAAACAGCTCAATCAACAACAAATGATGCCTCGCACCTTTTTACGTCGGAAGGCAAGGTATGCCGTGAGAAAAGATTACCTGTGGTTGCATAGGACATCTGAAACCAAATCAAAACGGTATCCTCACGACAAGCCTTAGCACTGTTTTTCGCTCTGCATTTAAAACACCTAAAAAATCCCTTTAAATACCGGTCTTCACACTTTCTTGAGGCATTAAGTAGTATCATATTCAATTTTATCGCTTTACAAGAAACAAAAATCACAAAAAGCTACACATACCAATTAAATGATGAGACCCTTGCTAACCGTGGAGAAATGTTTGTGCAGCAAAATATCAAACGCGTAAACATTGTCACTCACTAACCTATACCCATCACTACGGCACATTTAAGATACCTTCAGCTAACTCAGCCGTTCTTCTTCAAATTCTGCTCAGAAAAAGACGTATCATCATCCTCTAGTCCAAGCCTGAAAGAGCGAATTAGCAGCACTCTATGTACTTGGTAGAAACAAACCACAACGAAATGCCCTCGAAATGTCCTTACGTAAATGCTTCGTTAAATATTTCAAAGTGGGACTGGAAACTGTAGAATACAAGATCAAGAAAATACAAGAAAATGAATACAAGATCTGGAGATTAGGTGTATGAGATCGAAGGAAGCGGAAACTGTCTTGGTAGTATTCTACTAACTGCATACTTCTTCCGCGAGAATTTTCAAAATCATGCTGGAAAAGTGGCACCTAAAGCGGATCTAGAGCTAGAAGGCATCACTTCTAATTCTCTTGAGGCTTAATGAAGTTTTTGCAGAGTGATCTCGCCATGAAAGTGGATGCACTGGTGTTTGCACCAATAGCTCAGTTTAGTTCTTGTATGTGCTACGATTTGCTCACCAATTCTTCTGTCGCACTTTTGATGAAACTTAGTCACCTCAGTAACCGTTTTTCAAACCCAGACTCCGCTAAACGATCACATATGAGTAGAATAAGAGATAATGTAAGTCTGTCTTAGACATAACCTGGCCTTTGTTCTGAGTTTTTAAAGGTTTCGATAGCGTCGAAATTTGCTGAACCGTATGATAGTGATCCTAGCATTAGTGGCCCACCGTATATATGAACTCTAGCTGGATGATATCGCAAGTGCACCACGAAAATATAGCTTTCGCATTAGTCCTTTATCATTCCATTAAAAAACACAACAATACTATTTTCCAAACCTTCTTATTGTAGCATTGCAATGCGTTAATGATAAACTCCCTTGATTGGAATAGGAAACATGGGTGGCAAAATCCTATGAAGAGTTTGTGTTGCTAAAGACAGTGCCAGTTTTTCGAAAATTGGTAACGAATCAAAGCCGATTCTTAACGAACTCAATCTAGGATCATTTATAGATCAGAATGAATTTTATAGAAAAATCCACGATGCTAAGGTGACCATCCCACTAGACGGGTATCTGACTGAAGAAGTTACACTACACGTGTTCGTGTGGCATTCAGTGAACATAGAAAACGAAATAGGGAAGAAATTACGCTGAAAGAGTTGCTGGGACTGCCAAAGGAGCATTTGATCCACTAATGCACTCAAAACTTCGTGCTGTGCTTTTTGATGTAAATATTCCACTTAGTGCTACAATGCGAAGTTGAGCGGGATAACTACTTTTTGCTTTATACACTTCGAAAACTGTTTCTGGCATGTAACCAGTATGAGCAGTGTAGGGTACAACTTCCTGAAACATATCAAATAGTCAAATTCACCAGATTGAACTTCGAAAGCCAAGTGAAATAAACCTGAGGAGAATTCAAACGCCCTTTGTAAAGACATTTCTTCTGTACCTATCCCGATGAACTGCGGTTTCGTAGCCACTGGAAATGGCTGTTTGCCGAACTAAGTTCAGGAATTCTTCTTTCTGATGTTTTCCTGTGCGAAGACTGGTTGTCTATTCAAGGTAGGTTTTTCCTCAGCGCCCTTTTGTGTGTGAAAGGTAACATTAGAGGTAGCAAACCAGTATTTTTTGCTACTTGGCTCTTAGTAACATTTAGTGATGCAACCGTTTCCCGATGGGTTGGTTTGATCATCAAGAAATGGAAGCCAGTTTTTTTAGTTTACCCAAGTGAATTTAATGCATTCTGATTGTTCGTTCAATGACTCGGAGCGTTTGTTATTCTCCTTCTGTGTGGAGCAGATGACAAAACAGCCGTCTACATATCTACAGAAGACTAGTAGCCTGAGATCGATTACTGGGGCTTCCACCTTATGCATAAGGGCAATGGCAAGGCTTCGTGCCAGTTGCAGTATCATTGTCAACTCTCTGACCTGGGGGAGATACTTTTCGGACCGCTTAAGCAATCCTTTAAAAAAGTCATAAGCTGTTGAATCGAGAAGCCATACACATTTATTGGTGCTTTGTATTGCACAAAGAGCACAGGGATGGCTTGCATTGTGGGGTGATTCGGCACATTAGTATAGCTAGTCATTAAGGGTCGAAGAACATAATCTCGTACCTACTGTTAAGACGCGGATTACCCAGACGGCTCTAAAATATTTGCCGTTTGTGAAAAGGGTTGGGATGGTTTCAGCAACTGGGTAAGTATAAGTATCACAAATCGTGTTGTTCTCTCTGTTGGTCCGTCAGCACAGTTGATGGTGGGTTTAGCCTTGAATAAGTATAGGTACATCGATAGAGGAAAAATCATCAGCAGATACAAAATTATGAGTTTTAAGGATAAGTAAGTATAAGGAGAATTATCCTGCCAATTATATTTGGGTATTGAAACAATTGATGGTTTTAAACAAGCTGTCTTTTCCGCTTTGAAGCATTCGTTGTTCACTTCTCGTTATTAGCTTTTGAACTATTTTGACATAAGGGCCAATAAAGCGAGGCAAGATGCCTTTCTGTTATCTCGACTTCTGATTGATGAGGAATTATCACAAACTCTCCACTCTTATCACCAATAGGTAACTTAATGTTTTTTTCAACCTTACCAGCTCCAGCATGTTTCCCGTGCCTTATTTCTGGGATTCTGTGAAAGCTGAGCGAAGCTTCTTAGCGCGATAGTGATTAAGGACTATGAAAGTTTCGTCCCCAATTATCCAGAATTTGCCATCAACTTCTTTGTTGTCGTCTTGTTGTCTATTGACCCAATTCTAATAGTGAGCGTGTCCTATCAGGAAGAACCATGCCTCTTAACAGGGTAATTCCTGACTTTTCTAGCGCATTATAAATAATGCCTGCTTCCTGTTTTCCCTGCTGCAACTTGTTTCATTTTCGTTAACGTGTTTCTTTACATTTTTGAAGCCGTGTTATGATTCACTCGAAATATGTTAAGGTATTATGTGCACTGGATACAGAGCGTCTGGTGCAGAAGTGATGTTCCCTTTTAGACCTAAACCAGCACATTTCAGTTTACATTGACTTTACTAACTAAGAGTTAAACCATCACAACTTACAAATTCTTCCTCTAATATTTTTTATTTTATCCTTTTTACTTTACTTCATTTGATCCGTCTTCACGTCTATGATGCGGATCTAAACACTTCTCAAATCCAAGTCGTTTCCTCGCATCCATCGTCTTCTAAAGTATTCCAAGCTTTACGTGTAGCTTCTTTTGCTACTTGAGGATATTCATTTCGTCTTGAATGTTATAGAATGCTGGTCGAGCAATTCTCCCTGGAGTCCTGAAATAAAAGGGCTGGAGCGTTACCAATTGAATTGCAGAGAGTGATTTTTCCCAGACAAGCCCGGTACAAATTTCCGGACCTCGGAGAGATGAGAGGTTTGGTTGGCCCGATGCGGAGTCGAACTAACATCGTGATTGTGGTGACAGGCATCACTACCACTGTGCTATCCGCCCAAGTGAAGCTCTTGCGAAATTCAACCGAGAAAATCTTCCGTCTTTATTATACAATTATCAGATTCTAACAACGCGAAAAACCAATTTTTGAGAGCTTGTGAAATCTATTTACCCCACGTTGTTTCTCCATACTAGTATTTCCAAAAAATAGACCAAGCGCGATTTCGTGTAGTAAGACAGTGGATAGTGCATTTGCTTCGATGAATCCTAAATGTTCGCCCCTATCTCACTTGCTTTGAAATTTTTAAAAAATCAAAATTTTTTCCCAAGTTTTTAAAAGTTTGATTATAAAGTATTGGGAACCAGAGAAATATTTTGTAAAAGCTGTGCATATCCTTACCGTAACATAGTTTCGGTCGTGTAAATATGTTAAGTTTTTAACACCTCAAATACTGTAGTGATTAAGAAATCATCGCCGGTTATCAGAAAACAAAGTCCGGCTGGCATGATCTAACTTCACATTGTTCCTGCTAGCCACCCATCCAAGTATCTGTCTGCATAGGTCATTTCTATAGATCTTGTGCATATTCTAGAGCAACATACACCAGTTATCCACGTCGACTAACTGGCACATCATCAAGATGGTAGCAGTGCGTGTCACATGCAACTGCTAAAATGTTTGTCTGAAGATGATATAACAGTTACCTGCCCACTGTCCGATAGGCACAATCCATCGTTTTTCTCCCAACGTTTTACCGTCTCATCGTGGCTAGGATTTGCTTTTGGGTGTCGCCTTGCTATCCACAACTGGCGTTCTTACCACCAGCGGGGCCTACCAAGCTGAGAAGGACTCCGACTTTTTCCTGAGAAAACCCAGATAAGAGTAAACCAATATCCAGAATAACTACTATCTCGGTGTTAAACTAACCGCATGGTGGCAAATTCTCTTTTGATATATAAGACAAGCGACTACAACGTGTGGTGACGAACTAGGGAAGACTCTGGCTAAGCCGACCTTGAAATTCGGGGTAGCCCCAATGGCCACGCGAGCAAAATTCCAAAAAGTGGAAACTACTGTGGGGCATACCGAACGAATGAAGACGAACCGTTCAAGTGCCCGAGAATGTAAATAAGTAAATTTATTTCTACTTGCATACTTGGATGCTTGGATGGCCCGCCTTCATTGGTTCTGAGGGCTCAACATAAGCGTGGTTCTCTGGAGTCCTTATTCCGGTCTAGCCGAAGCCTTCCTCATGTCGTCACCACTCCATACAGTCTCCGCCCTTGTGGACCAGAGGGAGATTTTCCAAAACGCGACTAATTTGATGGCAGGACAGTGCTGATATCTAGCAACAGTTTACTTTTAGCTGGACTTTTGGAAGAAGACGTCAGACTCCTTTTCAGCTTGGGAGTCCCTGCTCGAAGATGAAATCGCCGCTGTACATCGCAGTCCATTACCCAAGAACACCTCCCATCTCCCATTACTATACCACGATGCGGTATACCTTTAGGAGGAATACACTATTAACATTCATGTAAGCTCTTGTATTGGTTTGAATGTATTCGTGCCAAAAAACCGCTGTCCCTCACTTGAAAAAACCCAGTTCCTCATATTCTTCGATGACCAGCTAACAATCTTTTGTCTAAAATAAGCTAAATTAAAAAAAGGTTAAGATTGTGGTTATAACTATAGTCTCAGCTTAACTGGGTTCAGTGCCGATTTGGGCTTCCCAGATCAGTCCCGTTGACGGGTGATTGCTGATGGCTGTGATTGATAGAACTAGCTGAGAGGCAGGTGAAACGAAGGATCCGCACGGTGTGGTGGTGAAGTGCGCTACTCCGCGGAAAGGTCAATAGCGCGTTCGTTCCCAACCGCAGACACCTGCGGTTCGGAGTTTTGCAAATATCTCAGCATTGTGAAAGTTATATTTCGCAACTTATCCTGCCATTAAAAAGAATAGGCACTAAATAAAAAAAATATGGTAAAGGTAGCCGTTCTTGCGTTAAACCAATTTAAAGAGTAAATTTCTCTTTCAGTTTACTTGCAGATCGGAACACTAAGAAATTTAAACTTGGAAGAACATTCTAGAAACATTATACCATAGATCTTCTAAGTTTTCAAGCAATAATGCGACTATTTACTATTGTACTGCAACATTAGTTTGGCTTCTCATCTAGATGAGTTTAGTACAAACTTATTCATCTAGAACTTCATTCAATTCAACTATATTGCAGGTCAAATATTTTAGGTGACAAGGCACTGCTGCCCGGATATATTCACTCGATCAGTTCTACGGAAACACACGTCGTCATTCCCATCACGTCGCTTCTCATCAATCCGTGCAAATTTAAAGAACGTCCGCGCTCTTACTCTACAAACTCGACTCAGAAAGGTGGTATGTGGGGAATGGATTTCTACGACATGGTGCCATTGAGGTGGAGTCCTTTTTATAACACTGTGGTCACCCAACTCTTCATGAATAAATACCTACATAACCACTAATGATTTCAGGTTCTTAATATTCAACAAGAGAACTCGAGTATTTTCTACAGAAAAACCGTTAGAAGTGTTTCCTTCCATGTTTGTTACCCATCAGTTGAACGCCTATAACGCACCCGATGAGATTATCATAGCTGATATGGTGCATATTCGTTGTATAAAGTAAAACCGTGATGCATCATAGAGAATTGAATTACTCAGGTTGTCTATGATTCACATGATTCCTATACTAAGTATTTCTACACTGACTTCCTCACTAAACAGCTTTATCCAAGCACTGCGAGGATTCTCCGGTTCAGAATTGATATGAAGAGGTTAAGAGTAATGTATAACTACATTTTACGGCAGGTATGCTCAAAAAAGGGTTTCTTTAATTGCAACTCTAAAGGAAAAAGTGACCTAGATAATGAGAGCTTAGTTAAGGAAACGATTGCTGCAGAATTTCCTCAGATCAACCACAAGATGGAGCAGAAGCCCTATCAGTGGGCATACATCGTCGAACACCCCTTCGCTGCTGGTAATGGAATACTTAAAGTTGGTGGTATTAAAAATTTGTTAACACTTTTACAAATCCACTGTCGTAAAACAAGAAAGCTCAGATTAATGTTGACGAACCAGCCGGCACACGTAACCAAGTGTTCAAAACCGAATCTAACTTAGTAGTCCATGAGCCGTGGTTTGTCGCAAAACCAGACTCACGCAAAGAAGATGACGGGATTTTGCTAGTCCGAGCACTTGACGTCGACGAAGCAAAAGGTAAAGGTGCTAGGTGTGAAAAGATGTGAAAAAGGTGCTTTAACGTTATGTTTACTTATAAAGAAATCATTGAACTTTGAAAGAAGTCTCCTCTTATAAGCCATATATGGGAGGCATTTTTCAAAATGTGATAAATAATACGCTTCAGGCTTGCTACTGGTAGTAGATGCAGATTCTATGAAGGAAATAGGCCGAGCTTACGTTCCCATTTTGATACCCTTTGGATTTCATAACAGGTAATCTAATGTCAGCTTATCTACCATAGTGGCGGCTTATATAGTAATAGAAATACGCTCAGAACAGTTAGCTGTTAGCTCGGTTGACTGCTCGCTTTGTGTGAATACGCTACGCAGGAATTTCAGTGTAGTGTTACAGAACACAATTTCGAACTTGTGTAATGACCATTTATTTGTGAAATAACGGTGATGCAATAGAGACGGTGTGACGAAGGAACAGAAGGGTGAAAGATAAAAATGTCAGTATCAAGAAGAAGCGAGAACAGGCCGGGTGCGCTGTGGAGAACTGTGGAAAAAACTGTGAAATGAACTGTGCAGAGCACTGTGGAGTGAACTAGACTATGAGAGCTGATGGAGCACCTTATATTTGTTCTAGAATAGAAGGAGTTTGCGTGATGAAACAACAGTCAGCGCCGAGAGAGATTTAAGGATGTTTCTGAAGGCTATACAAATCTTTTACAGAAAACACGTGTAACAGCGATGCCTGTACAAAGATTAGATTGGGTCGGCCGATGATGCCGAATGCCTGCAGCTGTCAGCTGCTCCTTCAGTCCCCGAACTGTCGAGTGCAGAAGAATAGTTGCTAAAAAGAAGTTGTAGAACTCCTTCCCAGCCATCTACCTGGAAGGTGGATGAGATGGTCTCCATGAAACAACTTTGCAGAATGTGCAATAGGACAATTTCTAGCAAATATAGTTACCTTAAGAAACATACGATAGTATAGAAGACAGAAGCTATTTGGAGAATAGCTGCTACATACACTAAGAATTGCCTTTCTTCCTTTCTTTTGCGAAATTTCGCGTATTTTAGATTCTTCTCAAAGAAAGATATTGGTTTACGCGGCGAGGACGTGTCTGCGAATAATGCGTCCTATTATTCAAGACCACCTGAGAGAAAGGTCAATTTAAACCTATTACTTGCCGCCTAATCTTGCTGGTGGAAGAGTATATTGCCAAATATAACTTCAGTGATGCTGAGATATTTCAAAACTCCAGACCTCAAGTGTCTGCGGTAGGGAACGAAAGCGTTATTGTCCTTTCTGGGGAGTAACGCGTTCACCGCCACACCATGCGGGTCCTTCGTTTCGCCCGTCCCTCAGCTAGTTCTATCGATCTCTGCCATCAGCATTCACCCGTCAGCGGGATTGATCTTGGAAGTCCAAATCGGCAACGAACCCAGTGAAGCTGAGACTATAGTTATAATCACAATTTTAGCCTACTATTTGCAGCCTACTCTTTTCACTGGCAAGGTATATTGTATACGGGATTCATCTGGGCATATATATATATATACATATATATATATATATATATATATATATAATATCCTCAAATCAATCCCGCTGATGGGTGATTGCTTATGGCTAGCTGAGAGACAGGCGAGATGGAGGACCCATCGTGTGCAGGTGAACGCGTTACTTCCCGGAAAGGACAATAGCGCGTTCGTTCTCCACCGCAGACACCTGCGGTCCGGAGTTTTGCAAAAAATGTCTCAGCGTCATTGAAAAAGGTCAGCATCAATACTTGCGAAAAATACTTGCCTTAGCACCATCGCTGTTTCAGATTCAAAAAGCTACATTACCTTCAAAAAAATTTGTCTTTTCTTCCACCTCTGTAGCTGAAATGACGTTATTTGTTAACACAACACATAAAGTCGGCGCAGCTTCTAGAAATGAGGTTCCAAAAATGGTGACAACCCAAGTATGGACATCACTATCAAAGAAAACTGGCAACACAATAAACGGTAGTTGGCATTTGACCTGTCTTCCTTAGTTCTACTTTTTATGTTTGAAGTTTGAAAAACGTTGCAGGCGCTACCACCCTTCCTTCAACGCCGAAGATTCCACGCTGGTGGCCACTGGCGCACACTAATTCTGCAACGCATTGGTGGCAACGAGTGCAACAAATGCAAACTACTCTAGCACCATTGTTTCCAGCAGCGAAGAATGTTGCAGTTAGTTAGAATTAATATGCTTTGGCTGCCGATGGCAATTCTGTTCTTGTAACTGTTGTGTTATATCTACTCATTGCATTGCGAAATTCTTGGAGGAATGGAGAGCTTGGTGGACCCGGGGCACGAATCGATTCCACGGATATGGAAGGGCGCCTCCGACCATTTGGCTACACGTGTATCTATAGTCTGTGTGTATCACCTGTCACCTGTAGTACCGTTGATCGTCGAGTGACTCGAGCTGAAGCCAGTAAATCTTCCATTTTTCCTTGTCGCGTGTAAGGGTTCTCCTCGCTGTAGGGACTCGTCGAGCATCATATCTTTCTTCTAGGCTTTTCGTAAAGAACTATGACCATCGAGTCGGTGTTGTTCCTGCACTGTGTTTAACATCCTGAGGAATCCAGTCACTAACGGTTCTTGCCCATCGGTCGTCATTCATACACATTACGTGTCCGGCCCACCTTATCTTCGGCTGTTTAGCGTATAGAACGGCATCTTTGATTTTTGATCGTTGACTCAGCTCAGTGCTTCGATTCCCTTCCCTTACTTGTGTGAAGCGGGATCCTCCTAGCATCGCCCTTTCGACTGCGCGTTCAATAACGCTGAGTGATCTTTCAACCTTCTTACGTAGCGACCATTTTTCTGACGCATACGTTAGGGCGGACGTACCGTTGAGGGTGAATGGGGCATGCGAAACCAATCCGTTCTTCATGAACATCGTTTTTGTGAGATTTAGGCGAAGACCAATCTTTTCACAGACTTTGACAAAATCGGCAAGCATACGTTCCGCTTGGCTCTAGTTTGATGTTATAAGGACGATGTCATCAGCAAAGCGAAGATGGTTTAACTGCGGACCGTCGTTTTTCACTCCCATATTATCCCATTTCAATGTTCGCATGACGTTTTGGAGGGTGACGGTAAATAATTTTGGCGACATGGTATCGTTTTGTCTAATCACTTTTGACGTCAATGTTAGTATCGTTGTAGAATTGTGGTTGTGATATTTTTGTACAGCTCACGAAGATTCTTTGTGTACTGAGCAGAGATTCTTTGACTCTCAAGGGCTTCCATGACTGCTTGTATTTAAATTGAGTCAAAGGCTTCCTTTAAATCGATGAAAGAGCGATCTTCTGTACCTTCACGATACTTCAACGAGTCTTGTTATCGCGCGTATACGGGAAGTAATAGTGAATTTCGAGCTGTATGACAGGACGAAAATCTTTTGAATCCACCTGCATTTCAGATCAAGTACTTTCTCACGCCAGACTTACTCTCTCTGATCTTAGAGCCCGCCCTCTCGCGAATTAATAGTTCGAAAACATTCACACGACGTTATAAATACGTACATATACACATAAAGGATGAAAAGGATAAAGCTCTCGTTGATAATTCCTTGAATCATGCATTCGTCTACATTAAGCATCGTTTGAAGATGATCGAGTGCATATCTAGCCTTTACAATGACGCGCGGTGGCGAACCGATGTATCCAGCCAGTGCTGCCATCCTCCCACACAAGTTTGGCACCAATTTCTCGACTGCGGAGAGATGGAGGGCTTGGTTGGCTATGGGCGCGGGGATCGTTTCCACGTGTGCGTTGTAGGGCGCCTCGGACCACTGTGCCACATACGGCCTTCATATATACATATATATATATATTACTATATATTTGCTTACTTAGATACTTGGATAGCCTGTCTCCACTGGTTGTGCGGGCTCCAGCATAGCGTCCATTCTCCGGAGATTTGCTGGTTTAGCCATTGTGGTTTCCAGGAGTCCCGAGGATAACGTGACCACAGTCTGCCTCAGGTCGTCACCACCACATGCAGTCGCCGCCCTTGAGGATCAGCCAGAGGTTTACCACTATGCAGTTTAATACCGGGACGGTGGTGCATTCTGGCATTGGTTTACCCTTAGCTGGGTTTCCGGACAGAAACGTCGGTCTCATTCTCAGCTTCGAAGACCCTGCCTGAGAGGTAAATTCACCCGCTTTACATAGTCCTCCGCTGTACATCATAGTCCGACACCCAGAAACACCTCCAAGCCACTATGAGACTGTATACCTTTAGGAGGATATTACTATATGTATTAAAAAACAAGGTCCGCACAAAATATATATAAGATCATATTTATGAAAAATATATTATGTCATATTATCATACTATACACATTTATATGCATATGTATATATACAGGGCGCGTGGTACAGTGATCGGAGGCGCCCTGCAATACACACGTCCATAGCTCTAATATCTCTCCTGAAATTCCGGCAACATTTGCTCATCAATGTTTTTTGAGAAGCTACTAAAACAGTAGGGCGCGTGTAGCGCTGTAGTCGAAGGCGCCCTGCAACACACGTGGAATCGATCCCTGCGCTCGTCGCCCACCGAGCCTTCAATCTCTCCCGGTCGGTAAATTGGTACCAGACTTGTCTGGGAGGATAGGAGCACTGGCTCAATATATCGCTAGGCCACTGCGAGTCATTGTAAAGACCAGATATTCATTCAATCGCCTCCAAACTATGTTTAATGAGGTCGTATATGTGGCGCACTCCTCAGGGATTGGTAAACGCGGAGTGCTTTGTCCTTTATCCGCTGAGCGCCCAGGCAGTGCGTTTACGAGGACTGGCGAATGGTTGTCCAGGTGTTAAGGCATTATCTTATCCTCAGCTGGCGCTGGTCGACTTTTTACAGACGAAATAGAATGTCGGATTCCGGAAGGGAGAACCGGTGGTGCGACATATCCATCATTAATCATTATGTATTCTTTCTTTGATGAGCTTACACGAGGTTGATAATGATGTTTATTTCCGGCTAACGTTTCGACGTCTTCGTCTTCCTCGGAGCCGATGATCCGAGTCGATGGTCCATGCTTGTTGTTCGCCTCGACGTTGCAGCTTCGCCTTCGTGTCGAGTCAGGTCTTCTTCAGTGAGCCATCTCCTCGAATGATCCATCCTTACTCAGTGATGCCCTTTTATACACGATGCTGATGGTAGATATAATGGTATCCATCATTGTTTATTTTATTAGAGAACAGGAGGACGTAGCTTTTGGAA